ATGGTTCACATGTCACGGATTATTCTGTAAGTATGTTATGCTAATCAACCAGGTATTATGATTTTGTTCCTTACAATAACCTCTCCTTTCTGTAGTCTTCACCAGAATCCAAATTCGTTTAGAGTGCATTTAAGCTGAGAGTTTTGAAACTTTAGTTGAGACAGCTTCTGGAAATCGTGTTTGCTGTTAGCATATTTTTGTCAACTCTGCTTAAAACTGATATTTCGACTCTAGTCTTCTCGCTAGCCGATGCTTCAAATTGCCCTGCAGGTAAAATACTTTGAGCTAGCTTATTTCTTATTCTGTCTTATGTGTAGTCTTATCAGCGTTTGAATTCAAGTGTATGTTATTATGTTATAGTTAAGTAAAAATGTTTCTGAGCAGCAGTCACTGTAGGGCACACTTTATTTTAGTAGATCCTTAATCTATTTTATATCTAAAAATAACTGTTTGCTATTGCAAAACCTCATAACAGCATAATAACATAAATTATTACCTTCATTGTGATATATACGAGTGTCTTTTCGAAATATACAAATTTTATCAAATAATAATGTAGCCCTACAAAATCTTTGTAATTGCATTAATATTTTAATTTATTTTATTACATATTCATCAGCCATTTTTCCATTTTATAAACTTAATAAGATTATTTCAAAACTGTGCATATCATACTATAATTATTCATTGAAATAAGATAAATATTAAATATCACATTTAATTAGAATATCGATTTCTTAAATATGAATAAGTAGACTACGGACAACTCAATTCATCAAAATAAATGTATGAATATTTATCAGTGTTTTATTAAGATTTTCAATATTTTATAATCTGCAACAATAACTTTCTAAAATTAATTACAGTGCACCTGTAACAGTCCAAAAAAAGAAAAAAAGAAGGGAAGCATTTAAAATATTAGCTATGTTAAATTTATAACAATGCTTTATTAAAAAAGAATGTAAGTAGCTTCCATTAATAGTCCTTTACGTAACTTTTTATTCCTGCCTTCTTCTCATCACGAGTTTAATCCCGGAGAAGGCATGAATGTTTGTATATGTAAAGTGTCCGTGCAACATGGAGGCACTCTAAATATGCGACGAGCCAAAAGTCCTCTCGAGAGGTATGTGGTAGGGGAAGAAGATTGGGAGACCCCAAGACCCGTCACCCTGGGGCTCTTTCCATCAAAATTGGGGGCGGAACTACCGAGTAAAGTCGTATTGTCATCTGTATGATGCTCAAGGCTCTTGCCAACGACAGCCGCAATCTTGCACTATTGCCACAATGAATTTTATAGACTTCTGATGTTACTGTCAGGCAAGTGAGACAACACATCACAACATCAATTTTAAAAGTAAATTTATTATTACCACCATTGGAAAAGCTAACAAAAATTTCAGCATTATTTTTTAAAAATATTCCACCACGTTCTTACCAACATATTACATATAAAAGAAGTAAAACCAATGAAAAATGTGTTATTGACAAACTTTTGACCTTCCACAAAAAACTAAAATCTTTACCTTAACATGGACTTTATGCTTTTGCGAAGTTTCGTAAAGATTCCATTAAACTTATAGCTAATTGAACTAACAACTTTTAAAAATTCATTGCTATTTGTTTTGCTCATAAACTTAAAAATTTTGTCAACTGAAAACTTCAAAAGTCAGATTTGCAAAATGAAATGCTAATTATCATTTTAACACTTCAAGAAATGATGTTCCTAAACAACTTATCAGTTTGTAACTTAAAAAACTTGGAATTAATTATGCCCTGTAATGTTGCGAATGCAATGTTAATTTTAAATCTATTGGGAGATTAATTGAGGATGTGTAAATTTTGTATAGATGCAACAGTTTTTTTGGTAGCTTAAGTCTCTTTTTGCAGCCGAATAGTGAAGAATTTCGCTTTTCCTCATATCTGCATTTTCTGTTTTCCTCAACCAAATTTTGTGATACCAGTACAAAGATTCTAGGAAAAAACCCCACAGGAACAAAGCCCACAGGAATAATGCTCACAGGTATAAATGCTCGCAGGAAAAAAGCCCACTCAGAAATATGGCCACATAGAAAAATACTCACATGGAAATCTGCTCACCTAGAAATATGCTCACACGAAGGAAAGCTCATATAGATATATGCTCACATGGAAATAAGCCCACTGATAAATAAAATACGTAGAAATATCCTTACATTAATCAATCAATAAATTAATCAATTAAAACATCGTACACCTACTTGAATTTTTCAAAGAAAAATTATTGGACAAATGCTCATATTAACCTTTTGAGGGGAGGTATATAAAAGAATGAAAATATACATAGGAAATGATCATTATGTACGTATTTATATTAAAATTAACTCTAATTTTTTTTTGGAATTTGCCAATATATTTTATTTTTTTTTTACTTTTTTTTGCCATTTTTTAAATGTGCATCTGTTTGATGTTTTTGTAGTATTTAATTGCGCCAAGAAAAAATTTTTTTTAACTGTTTTATGTTTTGTTTTTGAGCCTTTCGTTCTCTATAGCAACAAATTATACGAAAGATTTTGTAAGGCCTAAATACATTATTGTTCCTAGAAGGATGTTCTTTAGTGTGACGATTAAAACGCTCTAAAATTTAGCCTCATAGCAGGAATTATTTTACGGACCTTTTGTAAAAACTAAAATATTGAAAACTTATTGTAAATCGATGGGGTTTTGTATGATGAAACGATTTTACTCTAATATTACTAATATATTAAGTTACAGGATATAAGACTTTGAACAATGGAAAAAGCTTCCGCCAAATCGAACGCACGTCTGAAACCCACGCCTCGAGACCCCATGCAGGCCACTACCATAATATGGCCGGAGTTTTTTGAAGACATATTGATATCACATTTTTATAATCGAATAAAATATTTTATAATTTTTTGCTATATTCTTCTAAATTTAAAAATTGTTAACTATAATTTTGATTTTATTTTTTATCATTTTATTGGAAAATTTTAAAATGCGCTCTTCGTATATTTTTCATTTTTTTTTCTTTCCCTATTGCTTTATTTTGGCCAATTTGTTAATCTTATATAAATTCATTTTTGCTTTTTTTTCTATATATATATTCAAAAAGGATAATATTTTTAATTTAAAATTTTATAATATACTTTTGGTGTGCATATAGAAATTGATGCTTGAATGTAGTTATTTAAATTTGGAGCCAAAAAAAAGTTCTAGAAGACCACAGTTTCTGATCGAAGTGTGGAATCATTATGAAGCAGCTTTCGAAAAAATCTCCTATAGCAACAAATTATTACGAAAGCTTTTGTAAGGCACTAAATTCATTATTTAATTGTAGCCATCCTAGTATGTGGTTTTTGTTTGACGGACTGAAAACGATTTAGCCTGTCAACGTTTATTATTAGTTGACGTATTCGTTTATTATTCGCTGGGTGACGTATTATTCTAAATACAGGGCATATTGAAGCAAAATAAAAAAATAAAGAAAAGAAAAGAAAATATGAACACTTACATTTGGTATTCGCGAATCATGTAAGGTAACTATGATGAAATTGACAATAAAATTAGATATTTACATCTATTAGCTAATATTCAGTAAGTTTGTAGAGGCATTCGATATTTTGGAAGCAGGAGATGTGAAAAATGAGCAAAGCGTCCGCCGGAAATCGAACCACGGACCTCTGGAATACGCGCCCAGCGTGCAGACCACTACACCACGCAGGCATGCTAAGATGGCCGGAGAAATACCTTATAAGTTTATTTGAAATATACATGATTTATATATCACAAGGTATTTTACATAATTTAAATAAAATAATTATTTCTATTTGCTTATTCTTCTAAATGTTTATAAAATGAAAATGTGTAACTTATACTTACTATTATTTTATTTTTTTAAACAATTAAAATTGGAATAATTTTTCGCTGTATATTGGGTTTCATTTTTTTTTCTTCCTCCTCTATTTGCTTAAAATTCAAAAAGGCCCATTTGTTAATCTTATATAGCAAATAAATCTACACATAAGTTATGCAGTTTTTGATATATATATATATAAGCTCACACAGATATATGCTCAAAATTTAAAATTTATATATATATATATACCACAAGTGTTTTGGTAATTTAAATAATTTTTCTTTGAAAAATTCAAGTAGATGTACGATGTTCAAGATCGATTAATTATTGATTGATTAATGTAAGGATATTTCTACGTATTTTTATTTATCAGTGGGCTTATTTCCATGTAAGCATATATATATGTGGGCTTATTTCCATGTGAGCATATATCTGTGTGAGCTTTTTTCTATGTGATCATATTTCTAAATGAGCATTTTTCCATGTGAGCTTTTTTTTCTACGTGGGCATATTTCTAAGTGAGCATTTTTTCCATGTGAGCTTTTTTCTATGTGGACATATTCCTGTGAGCATTTATATCTGTGAGCATTTTTAATGCGGTTTATTTTTCCTGTGGGCATTTTTCGGGTCACCCATTACAAATAAACGCAAAATATTTTAATTACTTTTCATCCGAATTAAAGAAAAACAGTTTTTTAAAATTTACTTTGGCTTTTGAAATAAATAAAATCCTTTAAATTAAAATTAATCTTTCCTGATTTTCGCCACCCAAAATTTTCTTATAATACCAGTTTTTTATTTTCCTCCACCTCACACGCTTAACGCCAAGGGCAGAGCACCCTTTCGTTTGCTCTTAACATTGTAGATGTCCCTTGATAATTTTTTCCACTTCATACAGCAAGGAAAAGTTTGCTGTTCTTTTCGTTTTTTGTATATTAGAAGTAAGCCACTGATTTTATTCTTTTTATCATTATTAGTATTTTGAATTGTTTGTACATTACTTTTTATCATTACTTTATTTGTTTTCTACTTTTAAGAAAAGAAACATATGTTTTTATTTAACATCAAATTTTGGAATTATCCAACTCATTTACTCCTGCTTAAATTTCGCAGTGTGTTAATTACTATTTAAAAAAAATGAGTATTTTTTTCTTAGTTTGATGCTTTATTTGTAAGAGAAGTACATCTAAGCATTAGTTCAACATTTATACATCAGTTTTATGAGCTTGATGTTTCTGCTAATCGTTTAAATATGTATGAGAACAATACGTTTTAGCATTTATACATCTGTTTGACACGCTTGATATCGTCCTTGGAGAGGCCTTGTTTGTCATAAGGCTCCTTCAGCAGTTTACCGTTCTTTGCAACCATGGTCTTCGACCTGCGATCCTTGGAGAAGGCATAGTTTCCGTACAACATAATAGAATCATGATCGAAGGGTGTCAGAAGCAGGTTTTGGCTAGGTTTCAGAAGAGCGAATTGTGTTTCCATACCTGAAATAAATAGAGGTTTAAAGTCTTATGAAAATTTTTGCAACAATACAGAATGAATATAAAAAAATAATTGTATAATCTTTATCATCTAGACCAGAGCCGGATTTATATATAAACCTGCACAAGCTATAGCTTAGGGCCCCCACTTTCTTTGGGGACCCCAAAAATTAAAATATATTATAACAGCCTTATGAAGGGCCCCATATCTGAAATATCTTAGGGCCTTATCAAGTCCAAATCGAGCTCTGGGTAAGACACATTTAAATATTTATAAATGTTTTCTTGAAAAAATAAATCCTGCATTATTCCGAAATAATTACTCTCATATTCTTTCTTTAATTCTGTAATTAACTTCTATAATTATATAAATCTCTATAATTTTATAAGTTTTATTTACATTGAAAAATTTCATGTAAATTCACTTGTATGGTTAAAGTGAATGCCGAAGTTTCCTTCACATCTTTTCCGTGAGGCCAAAAGAACCTTAGAATATTTTATTTGAAAGCATTTGGAAGTGTGAAAGAAGATAGTATTACTTTTAAAAAGAAGGAAAATGATAAAATTATGTTATGATTCAAAATTAAACAGACTACTGCCTATTTTGCACTACTTTATGACCGACAGCTTGAATCTCTCTTAACCAAGAAGCAAAAATATTTCATGGTTTTCAATCATAATCTTAAACACTCTGAAATATCGATTATCTTTGTTAATTAATGGTATAAACAGTTTATATGATAATTTCAGATTACAGTCTACAACTTTAGAGAAGAATTTATCGCTAATTTGTTTGAAAAAATTAAAAACAAATGTATTAAAAATAAAAAAATATTATAAAACTTAATGAACACAAATGATTTTCTAACAGTCACGCAACACATAAAGCTGAAAATACCTTTTATTAATTATGACAATGCTATAAAGATTCATAAAACGATTACTTGGATGTATTATAAATTAAATTTATTTTAATTTATATCAGCTAGGTATATTATTCAAATAACAAAATAAAGATTCAAGTTATTAAGGTATTAGTCAGAATATTCTTTTTTTTTTATCTTCCTGAATAAAATGTGGATTTGTGTCTACTGCCCTCGAAATAGATAGAATTTTATTCAAAGACTGAGCCTTCAACATACAATATTTGTAAGTCTATATAATTCTTGTCATGTTCATACAGCGGATTAAAAATTTCGTAGAGTTCATCTCTTGGAATACTATTTAAGTCTCTTGATATGGTTTTGTGAATATTTTCAGTGACGTCAAAATAACGACCTGGACATTTCATTTGGATATCTCATTTTGGAATAGAGAAAATAGACTGCTGGTACCAAATCTAGTGAACAAATTCCTTTTAATATGTAGCAGAAACGGTTGCCAGTATGTTCTTCCCTGAGATTTCTGAAGCTGAAATTTCTGTGCTGAAGTTAAGCTTCTCCAATTCAAGCAGATGTCTGCAGTTTCGTCTCAGAATAATAAGAAAATCATTACGTTTCACCTCCAGTCACAATTTGTTTAAAATATATTCAGTATTCATATCTGCCTTTTTGATTAAATCATGGCATACAGATGATTTAATCATTGATCTTCTTTCTATCTGGTAGTCAGTGCGCGAGGGGGAGGAAGAGGCAACATTTTTGTTTTTTAGTGATCTTTCACAACAATTTGAGGCGTATTTTTATTTGTTTTTAGCTCACCATCTTCGGTCGAAGAGACAGGTAACAATGTTTTAGGAACTTTTCATCTAGCATTTCCATTGCTTCCGTGGACTCAAGATTGGGAAATGCGACCCTGCCCGAATCTCAACATCTGAGCTCATCATGAAATCGCTCGTCGTACCAATGAAACTTTATCGCTCGAGGTAAAGCTTGTCCACGGAGCTAAAACATTTTACCTCTTTCCTCCACGAATCTGATCCATATATGCTTTACACTGCATTTCAAATGACTCCATTGTTGCTGAGAGATTTTACCTCTTTCCTCCTTGGCTTTGAGCCTTGTAAAGATTTGTATGTACTTTGCATGTATGTATACGGCATTTTAAATGACTTCGCTGTTGTTTTTCCGCTTCACAGTAAAGCGTTATTGCTGTTCTTTGCTCATTTTCAAATCCATGATAGCAGATGTTCCCTGAATCAAAGCGATCGATTAATTGTCAAGAAAATTCTGTTCGTAAGATATTAATATTTTATGGGAAACAAATTGAGATATCATAGTAATAATTTCTGTTAATTATTGTTTGGAAGATTTGCTGGAATTTGCTAAAAATCATTAATCCTTAAGATGCGTTGCGTAAAGCCTTTGATTATACCAAATCAAAATTTTATTCATCATTTTATGTGATATGAATTAATGCCAAAAATTCTTGAAATATAACTTATGTTTGTTAGTGAAATTAATGCATCATGTTTCAAATAATTTCGTTTCTTACCTTCTTTGATGTTTTCCCAGTAGATGGTGAGGTACTCATCTCTATCAGATCTGTTTTGTTCATGGAAGAAACCGATAGCATGTCCCAGCTCATGGACAACAGTACCTACAAATTGGCAACCGTTTCCAAGAGACAGTGGTTGTTCTCCACGGTTGATCATACCGACGTAAGAGTAACATCTGTTAAAAATTTGATTCTAATCAATACTGGACTGAAAATCATTGTAATACTATAGAAAGTGTAAAAAAAGTTTGTTAATAGCTTGTCTTTGTTAGTAATTGTCTGTTAATAGCATGAATTATTCCGAAAGATAAACAAGTTAATCAGATAAAGAACATTTCATTGCTCCAGTTGAATTATGGATAATGTAATGCTTATATCTTCATCAAAATAATATAATCCCACTTACATAAAGGAATTAATATGTGAGATTTACCTTAATTTCCCTAACTAGTTATTTTAAGTTTGAATCTTTGCTGTCATTTCCCTATTTCCGTTTCTACGCCGGAATGTAAATTAGCTCGTGTGTATATAAGTGAAAATTTGAGATTGTTTAGACAGAGCGTGTTTCCCCCGTTCAAAGGCCACTTTACTAGGTTTGCTGTTCTAGATAAGACTTCTTGTCTTCCGCGTTGCTATTGGACGATAGTTTAAGTTCACGTCGGTAAATTCGAAGACAACTTAGCGCCTGAATTACTCTACGTAGCCTTTGGCTAGTAGTATTTTAATTAGATTTACTTTTAGAAGTATTACTTCGAAAGAAACAATTGAAAAGATAGTTCATGTAACAAAATGGCTATTGTTTCAAAGCTTGCACTTTGATTTTTGTAGTAATAAACGTTTCAATACAGCATAAGAAAAAAATGTAATTTGACTTATCTTTAAAATATTTAACTGATTTTTTAAGTCCTTCCCTCCGTTTCGAATCTTATTTCCTCTCAACTCTGTGCAGAATATTCATATCATTCGAATATTTAGAAGGTCGAATTGAGCATCGAAGAAAAGAGAATTTTGAAGTAAATTACATATTAACAATTCGGGTTAATTTTCTTTACAGTACGATGGTATTCTGCTGCCTGTCCGTATTTCAAGGAAGAAGCACTTTATTTAGAGCTTGTTGTGAGTAAATGAAATTTAAGTTTTTAGGGTGGTTTAGGAACTTAGAGAGGCTGACAACCTTATTATTAATTACTTTACGTTTTTATTCTACGTGTGGTAGAAGAAGTCTGGATGTCAGCGGAAAGTCCCTAACAACCATCCGTGTAGCTTGAAATAAAAAAGTGGTAATTAAGACTGGAGCTTAAAACAGACCAGAAATATAAAGTACTACTACAACACTTTTTTAACTTTCTGAGGACTCCTTTAAATATTGCGTTTTAAGATTTTCTACAAAAAGGTTTTATTAAAAATCTTAAAATATAATATCCATCTAATTGTGAGTCTTCATGTTCTATAAGCTTCTTAAACCTATATTACCTATAAACCTATAAATTTAAAAAGTTCTAATTTCAAAATTTTAAGGTGATAATAACAAAGATCTCATTATTTCAGAACTCCTAAGTTTTAGAAAGAAAAAATAATATTAAACAATAATATTTATTACAGCGCTTTAAATTTCTACAGTTAAGATTAAATGAGAAATTTCAACCATGCATTTTTATTTGCTCCTACATACACGTACGTACTGATCCTACATATTGCTGACATAGTGCTAGCCAAACATGAAGAATTACTGTCATTTGTCTTAAAAGTAACAACAATTTGATTAGAACTAAACCTAATTTTCTTAGTTTTAGAACAGCCATCTGATCCAGTATAAACGATGGCTGGCGGGGTTGTGCTGTTTGTGTAAAAAATATACTTATGGATCAAAATACATAGTAAAACATCTAGCATACAAATCCCTGTTAGGTAATTTTACGTACCCTTGTCCCTTGAAAATCTTGATGTAGTTCTTTTCTGTAGTCCTAGGTACAAATTTAAGACAAGTATTTCTTTCGTAGTTCTGCATTCCCGCCAAGATCAAAGATGTGTACACCGCTAGAAGAGGAAACAAAATTAGTGAATGGAAAATGTTATGACAAGAATTTCTAATTTTTCAAATGAAAATTTCAAATCGAATTGTAATTATTAATGCAGGTAGCCCTCCTACAACAAGGCATCCTGTAACACGGTTTCACTATAACATGATTCATAAATTGCGAGAAACCTCCTACAACACGGTTTCTCTCTAACACGATAAGAAAATTGCCCAAGCAATCCGAAGAATTTTAACGAACTCCGCACGAAGTTTTTCCATATTGTACAAAGCACCCATACAGTCATTTAACGCAGAAGAATCCTTGTTTCGTAAGTTGTGCCAGTTGTCTTCCCAGATCCGGTAGCCGTAAGAATAAATGTCCCCAGATAACAATGAAGAAACCTCACTATCGCAGAATGTGAACAACATGAGGTCATAATAAGTACTCTAAAACGCACAGCCTGCACGTTCGGTTTCCGAAATTCGAATCCTCGTCTCCATGGCCTGAAAACAAAAGTGTCTCAAGCTGCTGGTCGGCAGTCTGCGTCGAGCCACGGCGTGTTAAAGAATAACGTTTTCGCCTTTAAGACATTAAGTTTCAGTCTCCAGACTTGTCCAATAAAGATAAAGAAAACAACGTTTAAGAGGAAATTCATTTCTTTAGAAGTACAGGTACAAATATTGGAAATTAAATCCACTTTTAAAAGGAGAAAAGTCACATCACATTGAAAAAAGTTCAAATTGGAATGAAGAAACAGTCCGGACTGTTAAGAAAAATGAAAAAGAAATAAGAAGTGCAGTTGCTGCAGGATCTTCGACATCCGCAAAACATGCAGTTCGCCGACGGGAGCACCAATAATTGAGAAGATGGAAAAGGCACTCAGCATTTGGATTGATTATAGCTGTCAAAAAACAATGTCAAAAAAGAATTTCGTTGGATGGTAATATCATTAAACCAAAAGCACTTAAAATTTTCAAGCACCTCAAAGAACATGGAGAACCAACCCTCTGTCAACCCAGATTTTCTGGTGAGTGAAAGTTGGTTCGAAAATTTCAAAAAGCGTTTTGCAATTCATAGCATAAGAATTCAAGGAGAATCTGCATCGGCTGATTATGAAGCTTCTAGGACGTTTCCTGAAAAATGCCAAAATATTATAGAAGAACAAGGATATACAGCAGTTCAAATTTTCAATGCCAACAAAACTGGGCTTTGGTGGAACGAAAATGACCAGTGGAACCTTTATATCGAACAAAGAAAAAAACTGCATCCTGATTTAATGTGTCTAAAAATTGTCTAACGCTATTTTTGTGCTGTATGACTTTGGACTTTATGACAAAACCCTTGTTAATTTATAGATCTTTAAATCCTCGTGCACTTAAAAGCGTAAATAAAAATACCTTGCCGGTATATTGGAAAGCAAATCCAAGAGCTTGGGTAGCTGGGGATATATTTCAAGATTGGTTTTTAAATTGTTTTGTGCCAGACGCTGAACGTTATTTAAGGTGCATGACTCGTCTGAAAATGAAATTGGTGGCATATTAGAACTTATTAAATCAATCGGAGGCGAAGGTTTTGTGAACATGGCTATTGAGGACTTTCAAGACTTATCAGTGGAAGAGGAAATTGACGAAGATGTGATAGATATGGCATACGAAGCTGTAAATCAAATCGATTCTGAGGACACTACCACTGATGAAGATTTGAAGTTAACAAATGAACATTAAAAAATTAAATGAAGGCCTACGCTTAGCTGAAAATCTCGACTTTTTTCTTGAGGGCAGACCATTCCGCTGAAATAAGCCGAAAATTCAAAAGGGAGCTGCAAAACTGTCTAGCTATATACCGAGAAATTTAAAATGACCCTGTAAGAACTAGTGAGCAAAGTAAAATTACAGATTTGATAAAGAGGGAAGAAAATGCCAGAACTTTAAATGAAGAAAGAAATTCTGAAAGTGAAAGCGACCTCATTCCACCGAAAAAACGTTTTCTGTTGATTATCCTGAGCAATGACAACTAAGAAATTTATTAAACTAAAGTTGAGCTAAATTAAAATATGTAATATGTTTTGTTTTCTGTTGTACATACATGTATTTTTAATAAAAATTAAGTTGTTTATGTATAATTTAAAAAATATTTGTTTTCAATAAGTTTTCGGAACGTAACCCCTTTTTTATACTGCCTCTGGGTCCCATACAATACGGCATTTTCTAGGAACGTATCTACCGTGTTATACGAGGGTTACTTGTAGTTATATTATTATAAACTAGGAAGACCGCCTGAACTGACCAGTTTTTTAAATCCCTAACTCAGAAATAACTTTCTAAGGCTCCCTACGGATATTTCAGTTTAGAATTTCCTAAGCAATCACCTTTTCGTAAGCTCAATAAGTTATTTAAAATGTAAAATGCTCAGCTTATGAAAGGAAGCTTTCTTAAGAATCTTAAAATGTAATGCCTGTAGGATATTGAGTGCTGATGAACTGGTCTGTAAATTTCTTAAAATCTTTCTCAGAATTTAAAAATGTTGAAAATTTAGACATTAAGAATATTTTTTCCAGTAATGAGCAATAATTCTTGTCTATGCTCCTGCGACTATTATAAAATGAAATAAAAATTCCTACGTTATACGATGCACACGAAACTTAGCAGAGAAAATAGTAAAAAAACGACAAACGAAAGAGACATATCAATGTAACATGATATTAGATGTTGAGGTAATAGCAATATAATGGTATTTGTATATGGTGGATATACTAGTGTGGAATAAAAAAATAGTGGAAACACAGCGAAATATCTATTAAATATTATTAGCTTAGTTACAAACATTTATTTTCCCTTAATACAATCGCATGCCATTTCTACTGACTTCTGACAAATTAATGGAAGGCTTCATGCACCTTCAACTCGTTCACTTCAATTGATGCTCTACATTGACTGCTTTAAAGCAGGGATAAAGAGAGTACCACGACATCGAGGATGATGAGATTGCACATTGCCATGGAGGATGAGATTCGTAAGTAATGTGTGTCATCACTTTCTCTTGAATACTATACGAAGACGATGTCTCAGATCTCATCATCCTCTATCACAATGCGCCTTGCCATAATGCATGCACTGTCACGGATCTCCTGCGACGTAGCGATAGGAGGTCCTGAAATATATGCCATATTCACAAGATATGAGTGCATGTGACTATGATTTCTTCACCAAGACGAAGGAATTTCTTCACCAAGACAAAACGAAATGATTAAAAAAATAACCAATATTAGTGGACCTTCTAAAAAAATAAATAATTAAAAGCGGAACATTGCATACTACAATATAGGTTGTAGTTTTTCATGTTGCGTACAATCTGTAGAGTCTGTAACATTGCGGCATCTCTTCGTTCGATAATGATGGTTTGATTTGATTCGGTTTGCTTGATTACGGGAAAGCACTCGAGGGCTAGCTGCCTAAGGGAAGAGACTCCTTCGTGGAGGACTTTCGAAATGAAACTGGCTCTAATACACGTTACAGATGGGGAAAACCACGAGAAAGCTTATGCAGCCATCCGTTCGTGGGATTCAAACCTCTGACCAAACTACGAGTGTTCAGCGACTTTACCGCTCGGCTACTGGTGGGCCTCGTTCGACGAGGAAAGGGCGTGTTGAGTTTATCAGTTCGACATGTTAAATGAAATATCCAGGGACCTTCTATTCGTTTGTCATGGCTCGCCATATAAGAAATAGATAACTAAAAGCGGTAGATCGCACATTACTTCAATACCAATTTTTGTTTAATTTCAATAAAATTATAACATTTACAGAATTTGTTTTATTTTTCTAACAATGTTTGCAATAAATATCTTTCTCTCAACTCTGAGAAGCTTTCGAATTTTTAAGCAACTATAGATGATATTAAAGCTTCCTGTAAAGCGCACTTAAACTGAGCAGTGCAACGCATCGAGTACCTATGAGTATCTGGTTTTGATATTATTTAATTATTGCATACACTCATCTTTTAATTCTTTTCAAAGAAAAGGATTTAAATACTTAATTATTATATTATATTATATGAATGAAAATAATATGGATGAAAAATGTTGTACAGAACAGATAGCATAAAGCATAAACTTATAAAAAGTAACATAATGGATCAAAGTGCATGGATTACGCAGAAGATAATATAGACAAGATGAATTTTTCATTTGGTTTCTTAGTTTCTTATTTGAGGTTAGAGATGATACTTTTACGGCATAGAATTGAGTACTCTTGGTGTCCTAAGTATCCTGAGATCAGAGGACTACTTAATTTTAAGCATAAAACTTTTTGACTTTTTGTAAAGATTTAGTTTATTTTCTAGATATAATTTATTTTAAATTAATTAATAATCATCATTTTTCTAAAGCTTTTGCTATAGCATTCGAATAATCATTTTAATATTATATGGTGGCAACCACTGCGATATAGGAGAGTTGTATTACTCACTTTGTCAAATTTCTGAACAGTAAATCTGTCGAGTATTTCCGAAGATTTTCCAAATCCGACTCTGCTTATTTAAGTGCTTTATCAATTTAAGCCCTCTATTGGATGTTAGATGCTCATGGAAATATAAATTAGATAAAAATAAAGCGTAATGTCATACCTAGAGATGAATCAATAATATATGGAATTATCTTGTTGGGCCATCTCATCTGCTGGTATGGAATAACATTCCTGTCCTGAAAAATAATGTACAGTTACAAAAATGACCAGAAAGAAAACGTGATTGCAATAGATATCATTTAAAATTATTATATTTAATAAAAAAGACTGAAAAATGATTACATTAGGTAATAAACTAGAGATTCTTATTTGAAAATTATATTAACTGCATGTGCAAAGAGATTCGTAAATTAGATATTTTTCAAGCTCAAGCAAATTCTTCAGTGTGCACTTAAAAAACACGCATTATATATAGAAAATCGCGCTGAAATCGGGCATAGGTTGCAATGTCTGCTAATGTTTTGTCATTTGTTTACTTATTTTTTAATTTTTCAGGACTGTGCAGTACTTTTGGGAAATACACATGGAGAGATTGAGTCCTAAATAGCGTTCGAAACTGATAGAAATTTATTTTGGAAATCAAAGATGCATCATCCTCACTCAAAGAGCATACCATCGGCACTTCAATGTGCGCAACTGTCCTTATCAGTCTGCGATTCTACGTCTGGTAGCATACTCTCTGCATCATTATTCAGTCTGCGATCGTCCAAGAGCAGACAGAGAACGGGGTTGTCATTAATGATGTCCCTCACTCGTTGAATGTTTTGGGGAGTTCGAACCGAACATGTTTACCCGTTCTTAGGCGAACGCAGACTGACTAATGTTGCCAAAAGCGTACTACCAGACAGACAATCGTAGTCTGATGAGGACAGCTGCGCACGCTGATGTGCCGATGGTATGTTGTTTGAGAGACGATGATGGATCTTTGATATTCAAAATAAAGTTATTAATTGCATACGCTTTTCAGGACTCAATTTCTCCATGGTGTTATCTCCAGTCTTGAAAAAGAAAAAAATAAATAAATAAACAAATTACAAAAAAAATTATGAGGTCTTGCAATCCCTGCGCGACTTCTGCGACATTCTGTATAATTGAAACAATTTGAGTCTGTCGTAGATAATAATAATGAATGTCTAGCTACAAGGAAGACAGTCATGGCCATTTGATGCATTTCTTTATTCTGAGCATAACAAGTGGAAAACGTATATCGAAGGACAACATATTGACTAAACCGAGGCCAGCGTGAGATGGATCAAGGATTATGTAATTGATATAGCGTAAGATGTTGAAATTATAAGAAATTGAAAGACGAAGATGGTGCGTTGATATTAGACTAAAACTAGTGACTTTAGATTAAGTATGGTGAGGATTAGTTAATTTTTTAAATATAGTATCAAAATTTCGATTTAAGTGTAATTGGTTTAAAAGGTTTTGCTCTTAAGTTTTCAAACATATATTTGTCTTAAACGTTATACAAGAATGACAGGAATTAATTCTGAAATGACGCACTTCAGAAATAATTTTTATGAGCATATTATATTTTAAGAATTGAAAGTGGAAAAATAACGTAATTAAAAAGGAATCTTAAGGAGTTTCACTTAGATGTTTGTTGCGTCGTTAGAATGATGACCCGTTAGTGTAACTTGGATATGTTGGTGGCGTCGTAGATAGAAGATGGATGCATAAAAAATGCAGATTTGAGCGAATTTAAATAGTATTTCTTTTATTGTAGTGAAACATTTTGAGATACAAGTAACTTGGCACATTAATCGTGCCCATTCCAAAACATAATATTTGCATTTTTGAGATTGTTGCGATAAAAAGAAAGCAGGGCGAGGCACAGAAGCAAAGTCCGATATACTCGGGACAAAACATTAATTTAGAATGGTTTTAGTTTCAGTTTCAATGCATTTTGATTTGAAAATTAATAATACTCTCAAATGATTATTATCTATATGAGTTTCATTTCCATTTATGTCACTATCTTGTGTAAAAGACATATATGGATTAACCTAAAAATAACGCAGTCCTGAAAAAGTTATATGTAATTACTGTTTTGAGAATAGAGAAGAGAAATAAACAAATTAAAATGAAGAGTTAAGGGACTACTGCTAATTTATGTTATGATCTTACGCCCACACACCCACATATGTATATATATATACATATGGACAGATAGATAGATAGATATAGGTAATTTATTACTAGAATGGTTTTTTAATGTATCATACAAGAAACAGAAATTTAATTAATGCGATTAATTAACGGAATAAATTTGAATCAGTATCTTAATTATAAGTTATTTAGATTTCTATTGTAGTAAAAATATTTTAAAACGTTGCAAAGAAATATTATTTTAAACGGGAAAAATTCTAAATAGTTAAATTAAAAAGGAATTTAAAATACTGAAAAGTAAAATTAAAAAGAAATTTAAAGTATTGAAAAAGTAGCTATTGTTATTGACCTCAGATTAATTGACTTGTCAAGAGTAACAAACCAATACACTATAAATTAACTGTAACCAGATTAAGTAAGAGTGTTTCGTCTTTTTTTTTTTCGAAGTAAGGATGAAATTAGTTATTTTCCTAGAGTTACATCATAAGATAAGACCAAAACTCAAAAATGAGAAAGATAATTATTCTGCTTCAGCCAAAATGCTTTCCATAAACAAAACCGAAAAGAAAATGAGTGATATTTCCTTCTTAATTTAAAGTACTCGTTAATAATTGAATTAAGCTTTGATCCTCACTTTAGGAAAAACATTCCCCGACACTCTCACAGTATTGTAAGAACAATAAAAAACTACTGAGTAGACATTAATAGAGAATTAAGAAGTAATCTCCTGAAAGTATAGGATAGTCATAAAATAACTTGACCAACTAAAAGTGATGGTTGGAGAGCTAAAACTGAATTTTCCTTTCTAAATTTGCAGGGTGTGTTGGATATTCCTCCTAATGCTTGCATTTAACCCATTCACTATATAGAAATGTCTCCAGCAAATCCTGGACTTTAGACAAATCCAGAGCCAGAAGTTCATTGGCAATCGAATTAAAGTACCACGGAGATCAAGCGAACGATAAATGATGGTAGATGATGTGCTGATAGAAACAATCTTGAAATAATCGTTTCACGCACTCGTCTATATATAATCCATACATTCACATTCTGTAATTGTGTGTACAACTACTAATGAAGATCGGTGTCGAAGCAACAAAACAATTCTTTTTAATTGCCCGTAACATTAATTATAAATTTCATAAAACTGGCGTAATGCTTCCACAGATTTGCAATGTAATATAGCAGTGTTGGCCAAACTTCATGTCAGTAAGAGTCGCACGTTTGAATTCAGGAATGTTCGAGAGTCGCATCTAGATTTACTAAAAGCCACAAGTTCATATTTACATCATTATAGAAGTACTGGAGGAGGTTTTAAATAGAAAGAAATCCCTGATAACTTTGTAAAAAGAGTCTAAACTAATTAATTACTTCTTTTTGGACCATGAATAGTTTTAGTTTACCATATTTCATACATGTATTTTATATTCACGAGCTGCACAAATTGACTGCGAGAGCCGTATCAGGCTCGCGAGCCGCACTTTCGCCACCCCTGCAATATAGTTTCAAAATTTCCATGTGTAGCTTCTGTACAAATTTCATCATTCGGGAAATGCATAACCAGAGCAGAAAATAAGAAAATACGAGCTTTTTTTCTCTTAACAAATGCTTTTATACCTTACATTGGGTGCCATGGTTCCATTTGCGAAACTCCCAAACATTTGCAGAGGTGGACAAAAAAGACGGAAATGGAACCTCCAGAAAGCCTGAACTGAGAAAGCCCACAATGATACATTACGAAAAAACACATAATTTCTTTAACATGATGTTTAAAAATATTTAAAAAAAAACGGCTCATTTGCTTGGCTTTTTTAAACTTATCAAGATTTTAATTTCAAAATGGTTTCGAAAGCGAAATTCTGTAATTTTGAAACATCGTTTCAAAGTCATTGTTTGGTATTTGAGGTAGGCATTTTAACAAACCATTTAAATTATTTTTAAGCAAAGGAAATTAATTACATTTCATATAATTTATTTACAGAAGGAAAAACTTAATGGTTTTCGAGAAATGCCATGGTTATTTTTCGAAATTAATTTAATGTGACAGACACATAAATAAAACATACTTGTAATGTGTTATTATGCCCTTTAATATAACCACAATACCTGTTTTTACTTAACTTGTATCAACGAAAACAAATTAAAAATTATAAAATGTACCTTAAAAGATCTATTAAACGAGAAAAAATACTGTTGATATTTAAGTAAAAGACTGTGTGTGTTTGGCGAAACCATTAAAACATCGTATGGATAATATTGAATGTTAGATACTAATTATTTTAAGTATTTCTGTGGAATACATGATAACGTTTCACTTAAGAATCACAACATCACAACGCAAACAACATATTCATCAGTTAAAACAAATGCATAAGAGTTTTTTAAAATTCTGCAATGCGTTACTTTTTAAAGCACACAAACAATTGAAACATAATATTGTGAAAAACAGCAACTTTATTGTGGTTTAGATTTTTAAAAAGTTACCGATTTTGAGAGTGTTCGGATACAGGTTGCTTTTCTACAAGAACAAACACATTTTAGCAAATTGTTATTGCTCTTGAGGAAGAGGAAACTATGTTTGCTCACTCTCATAATCTAGCGAAATTTACTTGAAATTTAAACCAAATTAAAATTGATCTTTTACCTGATTTTAAGTATCATTTTAATTTTTTCTTCCTATTTGATATGGAATATATTTAAACTTGTAACGTTTAGTTAACTTTTAAGGCTTATCAAAGGGTAAAGTGTACATATTAAAATGGATTTTTATGAAAAAAATATAGTATGTTCTACTAACGTTTTGTGGGATGCTTAAAACAAGGAATTAAAATACGTACGCCAGGCTCAATTCCGAGAATATCTCCTTCAAAGAGATCAGGGTTTTGCAAAGCCAAACTTCTTCTCTCTATGAAAGATTAAAAATAAACAGCATAAGCAGCGATTCTAAATCAAATACTGTAATGATATTTAAACCTTGTAAAATCTTATTTTATGCAATATTTTCTTTTATAATAGATTTTAAAGTTTTTTTTTAGCAAACTATGATTTAAATATGAAAATTGTATGAGGCAATTTAGACTTTTAATTGGGAAGATCAATAAGGACTTTGACACAAAATCAAAATAAAGTATAAAGAATTACTTTATGTATGACATAATTCATATTATTAGAACATTCTAATTAGAACAATAAGTCATATTATTAGAACATTCTGCATCAGTCTGCACTATTTTTGGTGATATTAAATTTTATAAAGTAGTCTGTAATTTAACTTGTGTATTGTAAGATAACTAAAATTGCGTCAGCTAGAGACAGGCATACATTTATACTTTAAAAACTACCGTATTTTGTTTTATTTTTATGTTTTGTTTGTAAATAACTAACGTTTAATAATTTTGCAAGTATAATAATAAATTAAATAAAAACATTGTTTGTTATTTGCTTGATGAATTCAATGAACAAAAATCAAGGAGATTTCACTATCTTTTATACAAACTTAAGTTTTCTAAAAAGGTTGTTTTTCTCTCTCAAATGAACAGAAAAATGCCGTAGCACTGAAGATAACATAAAAAATTGAATTAATTAAAGTTAATAATAATTAAATCTAGAAAAGAGAAAGAGACTTAATGTTTCTCTGAATTGTATAGTAATTTAAAATACATTCAAGGTTAGAAACATAATACATAATAAATGGTCAGTTAGCCCAATTCCAGATTTCACACAGACTTATCAAGGAAAAAGCATAAGAAAACTCCAATTTGGCTAATACTATTCAATTCTTTGTATATTTTTTCTTTGTCTTTAAAATTTTTTTTGATTGTTTGCGAACAAAGTTGATGTTTTTTAAAAATATTTTTAGTCTTTTCTAATTTCCAATTTGTTTTTGTAGATTAAATAGTTTAGTATTTATTACAGGAGGTGTTTTTGCGTAAACTTTAACTGCTTTAGTATTGCTTTAACTTTTTAGTATTGCTTAACTTTAATTACTTTAGAACTCCAAAATATCTAAAATTAGTTATTGCAAATACTATTATTAACCAAATTAGCAGAATTAAAAAAGTTTGCATTGAAATAGAATTTATTTTTATTTCTTTATTTTTTCCTTTTAATTACTGTTATTTTATTAAAACAAGGGCTTCCTATTTTCAAAGTCATCATAATAATCCCATGACATGAAGACTTTACTTTTCTAACAATAGTTTCTTTAGTTCTTTTTTAAGCTTTCTTCTGCATTTTTCTGTAGTTTTTAAATAAAAAAATCTAAAATTGAACTTTTTATTTTTTACGCTTACCGAAAAACAATAAACCAATATATAATATATATAAAAGCTTTTTGAACACTTTTTGAACACTGTTTAATGAGTCTAAAGTAATTTATCCTAAAATTTAATTAACGTTTTACACTGAATCACATTCTTTATTCCCTATTTGTTTTTTAAAAAGGTCAGAATTTACTTTAATTTCATTTTAATTAGTAAAGTAATATTTTTTCTTTCTCAAAACATCTATTTTAAATTAAATTTTTATGTAAGTTTTAAAAAGATTTTGTTTGGTTTCAAAATTCTATACTTTGTTGCAATTTTACTAAATTTGCAAGTAGCAAGAAATAACTACTCAGGATAATCAAAGTTAAAAAAATATTGCATATTAGCACCTCACGAAGGACATCCAACCCAACGATCAGGAAGTTCAGCATTAAAGTAAGCTTGAATGTCCTAAATTAATGTGCTCCCGAAATTGTGGGGAAATTTCACCTATCTAAAAATGCAGTCTTCGTTATCGTTCTGTTGCGGTTTTATTAGCTGTGTCTTCAGCATGTCTAGGTACACTTCACGTCTAGGTTGTGACATATCAGGGATACTTGAAACTTTGCGCTTTTTTGTTTTGTTTTGTTATTTTCTGCTCTCTTGGTCCCCTTTCCTCTGTAGCTGTCTTTTGTTGCCCAGCCAGTATAATGGTTAGTGATGCTGACTGCTGTACTGATTGGCACTGCATCGAATCCCGAAGAAGGCAGGACTGTTTGAAAGCTTGACTGCGCTGCAAGCGGAAACTCAAAATATAAGGGCAACAGAAAGACCTCTTGATAGATTATTGGTAGGGGAAGAGGGGTGGGAGATCTTCGGATCGCCCCCTTTGAGGTACTTTTCTTCAAAATTGGGGAGGAATTCCACAGTTACTACCCAGGACTTGTACGACCAATGGTCAAATTCTGGTGTCCCGCTTTCTTCTGCTTGTTACGTCTACCTTCATTTATAACGGTTTGCTCCGTTTGTTACAACTTTGTTCGTGATTAGCCAATGCTCTTATTTATTTAATATTAATCTTTAAGTGTTGAGAAGAGAATAACTCCCCAGCATTCTACAACAGTTACTTACAGTGCAGTTTCAAACATAGTATATCGGTATCATTGAATAATTAAAATTTTAGCAAATAAAAGCAATAATTCAAATAAGAAGAAATTCACTTTATCAAATCGAATATAGTCTACTTTAATCACATTCTAAATAATATAAATATATTACCCCTGTCTGTTATAGCAGAAACTGCTACGGCTGCAAGGAGCAAGGCAATAACGTACTTCATCTTCACTTTGAATTCGAGCCCAAGTCGTAAAGATATTTTTTGGAAAGCCGTATATAAATCATTTCTTTTATCTTGATTTCAAAACACAATTTTCCTATCTTTGTGTGTATTCCAACATCTGCGTAACAGATGACTTAGTGACGAACTGAAATATCGTCAATTATCGACTCTGTGATTTAATAAACAAATATATTATTATATTTTCAGAGACACGAAAAAAAAATATCAGGATTTAGATTAAAACTACTGCGTTTCTTATCACAAAAGTTCCTTCTTCTCCGATTTATGTATGATTTTTTTAGCAAAAATAGAATTTTTTTATGATTTTTTTTTCAGCTGCTGTGTTTTATATAGTGATATGACACGGGCGTGTTAAGATTTAATGATTTTAGAACGGAATTATCTTTTGTTTTTGGAAAATATTATGTCTTGTAATGTTGCTATATTACATAATACGAAAGATAATTAAATGCTAAAGGGCGCGACGAATTTAAAATTAATCCCGAACTGAATAACTTACTGAGAAACTGTACCATATCATTGACAAATAAACTGTGTGTATGTTAATAATGCAACGTTAAATATGATGCCAGATATAATGAAGTAACTCATTAATTTATGATGAAACTGCATTTTTTTATTTTTTAATAAAATGCTTAGAGATGTTATTGAGCAGTCAAATAAAAAGAAACTTGATGTTAAAATAGCTAAAATATGTAAGAGATGAACGGAACAGAAATTTAAAATAGAAAAAGTAATTCACTTTCATTTTTGTCAGCGTCTAGAACACCTATTTAGAGAAACATTTGATTTATTTCATAGCAGTATCTTCATCCATAGTGCAATTTACTAAATTACTAAGGCTCGGAAAATGTATTGTGTACTGAAAGTTGAATGTCTATTACGATGCAACAATGATAGAGAGAGTTTCCTAGAGATTAGGTGTGGAGTTATACACGGACTGTTAAACTTAAAGAAGGGAATTTCTCAAGTTCTAGATACCTCAGGAGGAGTCTGTAGGATCTAATCTTCTTTCTTAATATACGTTGTAACTTAAAAGTCTAAGTTACGACTTCTCGCAAAGATACGAAGATGAATACAACGGGAAAAGTGTGTAAAAGACCCTTTCATTGACCACAATAGTTAACAGACGGCACGGACTTACGTGCTTGCACAGTCACCAACTACTTTTGATGAGGAAAATATTTGATTAAAAATATAATGTAACAACTAAATTCAAAGGTAAATAGCAGAGCAGGTTGACTAAAATCTACACAAGCGAGATAATTTCGACAGCAAGAATGCGAAACCGAGATTCAAAATTCAACAGCTGGTAGAATTAATAACGTGTACTCTCAAAAGAGGAACCACGCTCTAATTAAACTTTTCTCTACTTCAGTTTAAATACACTCTCGTTCATATTCACTGATTTATATACTGCAGGAAAACGCAAGAGAAATGAGAAAAGACAGAAACGGCTAACAAATTAAAATAGCTATTAGTAAAAATAATAGAACCCTTAAAGTCTCAGTGCGTCAATAAGTACACTCATGTCCATAAATTAAGGATAATTCGGAGTCACGAGAAAATCGAACTCTAAAATAAATATATCTCCTGTAAAATCACTACACACATCTTCAAGAATCATATCAAATTTCAGGAAGTAACCATATGACACCGATGGTACTCACAATGACGAGAGTGTAAGAGAGTGATATAAAGGAATACAGGCAAAGAAGTAAAATGTTCGCAGGCGCTTTATAAGCATTTCAGTGCAATAACCGAAGTAGTTAGGACACAAGGACGCATTTGGATGATTTTTTACGTGTAGAATTATCGGCCGTCTGGAATGTGGCGTACCCAACTGGAAGTATCAGACGAACTTGGAATTGCCCAGAGTTCATCTCCAGGCTTTGGCAACGATTCAAATGATGGTTAATGTGAGTAGACGTTACAGCACAGGTCGCCCAGAGTTACAACGCCGAATGAGGACCGGTATTTGGCAGTTACTGCCAAAAGAAAACAGGCGGAGCACAGCCTCAGACCTGCCTCGTTCAGCTCTCTTCGCCACTGGTACGACAATTTCAAGGCAGACCGTGTACAGACCTTAGGGCATATTGGTTCTATGTTCGTAGACCTGTCAGATGCGTTCCACTTACTGCAACTCACTGTCGCCTGCGGTTAGCCTGGAGTAGAGAGCATGCATTGTGGACACCGCAACAGTGGGCTTGTGTGATGTTTTCCGACGAGTCCAGGTTTAGCTTGCAGTCTGATTCTCGCCGACTTTCATATGGAGAGCTCCAGGTACCCGTTACCACCAAGAAAACATCATTGAACGACACCGTTACGGTGGTGCAGGAGTGCTCGTTTGGGGTGGAATTATTCTGGGTTCCAGAACTGACCTGCATGTTCAAATTGGAACCATGACAAGCCAATCTATCGGGACGTCATTCTGGAACAACATGTACATTTGTTTCGGGGCGCCATGGGCGCACAATTTGTTTATGGATGACAACGCCCGTCCTCACCGTGCAAAATCGTAAGCGAATGCCTTCAATCGGAGGATATCACCCGTATGGACTGGCCAGCATTCTCACCGGACTTGAATCCAGTAGAGCACGTGTGGGACATGCTTGGCCGACGAGTTGCAGCCCGTCAACCTCCTCTTACATGTCTACCGGAACTTCGGAGCATTGCTTTTTGAGTGGTGTAATATCCCCCAAGATCAGATCGATAATTTGATACTCAGATGCCTAGGCGTTGTACGGACTGTATTGCATCGTCTGGAGACATACAATGTATTAACAATCAAACCAACCATGTAATATTGTTTTTTGTAAATAGGTTTTTTTTTGTAATTTGCTCCAGGGAGAAAAAAAATCGCTAATTTTTTAATAATATCAAACATATAGCATCTTTTTTTTTTTGCTCTTTACCTTTTGTTTAATAAATAGCTTTACAAATAAGTCAAATTTGTTTTGATTCTAACTCTTCCTTTGCCTGATTTTGCATTATCCTTAATTTATGGACATGAGTGTATTTAAAAGTCGTGGTTTATATTTAAAGACGTCCAGACCTTTGCTAGTATATTACAGTCCTTATTCGTCTAATAACTTCTCAATGTTTACGATTAATAGTTCTTTATGTCGGTTATGTAAAATAATGTTTCCTGTTTTTTTGCGACGGAAACGATTGGAAAGATCACTTTTGTTTCGTTAGTGTAAACATAAGTTAGCGAAATCAGAGATAAATCGCAGAATTTGTATTGTCTTGGCGAATTTGCACATAAACAACTAAGCATACTAGTTCGATGCGATTGAGAATGGAATGGAAGTGGTCTTGTTCATTTGCTTATTAAATCAGTATGACAAAGCAGGCAAGGACTATTTACTGGGAGAAGTGACACTTTCGCGAAGGACGTTTTAGTGAAACTAGCTCGCATTTCATTCACATTATGCTTGAGGAAAATCACACAAACTTAAACAGCTAGCTCTGAGTACGCCTTTAACTATCTTACCCACAAACTCATTGGCGGACATTTTGTCTCGTATATAAATATTCCTCTCTAATACTCTTGTGACGCATTGCGGAATTTTTACTCAGATGGTAAACAAAATGTTGCTTTACTCTCACAAGCAGACGAAAATAAAAAGGAGCATGCAAGGATTCAAATTGCGAGAAAGAAATGAATGTGCTTACTTGTGGAGAACAATCAGTCAGATGCATACTAATTGGAAATTCATAAATTTCCCCAAAATGTCTATCTAGCTTCTATCGTTCTGATGTAGACATTTAAAAAGTCCTTCAGAAAAAAAAATATTTAGTTGAGTTTAAGATACTGCATGGCTATGTGCTCATATTGTTCATGATATTTCAAATATATTATTAAAATCAGCCAAATTTAGAAGAGAAAGAATATAAATAAAGATAAAAAGAAAAAAAAAAGATGCAACATGAAAGATATATTCGAATGGAACAAAATTCAGTAGAGATGGAATGTATATGCATGGAAAAATAAGCTATTAAATTGTCAGAAGAACCGAATGTTTTATTAAAGAGACCCAACTGCATATAACAATAAATCAATAAAGAATTGTTCCACTTCTGTCCCTTATGCGAGCTGTTATACAGCTTGGCAGTGACTCACGGAATTTGCGAATTCTTGACAAATTGTCTTTAAATGTCTTGTTAGATAGGTGACATTCTTTGACAAACGCTGTCGACTGATCTTCAGACCACAAACATGGGCTTTTAGCGAAAATCTAGCCATCCGTCTAGGTGGCCAGGACTGATTTTGATAAACACTAAGACAATGCGTAAAAATGATTGCAGCATTCACTTGGGTATTATACTTTGGAAATATAAATATCAGATATCTCGAACGGAAGAGCAAAACAGGGGAGTACAGATTACCGTCGATGCACTGTCATGCCGCAAGAATGTATGGATGACAACCAAAGCTATTGGACTATCGAATAAAGCAGCAATTTGACAAGCGCAGTCAGATCAGTGTTTCATCATTGCCTTGGATGTCTGTTATTGATGTTCACTTCAAAGTGTAACTCTTGCCATGTACGCGGATGATACAGCAATCATTCCACGAAGTGCGGTTTTGAGTTCAGTCGTATAAGCACTACAAAACCCCATACAAGCGCTTGGAATCCTTGCTTATCAAATAGAAAATTCAAATTAACGTTGAAAAATTGGAAACTGTTCTTTTCACCTACAACTGAAATTTAATCTCAGCATCAGCCTATTTCCTTATTATCCCTTGGACCAAGCAAATCGAATATCTCGGCGTTATCCTTAATTCTAACCTCATAAGGGCCTCTTATATTACATATATTCGTTCCAAGTTTTGGGAATCTAAAGCTACACTTACTCCCTTAAATGGCCCAAACTCTGTTTTATCATTAGATAACACGTACCCATTTAAAAGACCATGCTGAGTCCCATAATTAACTATGCCTGTTGCGTCTGGGGTTACGCATGTAAAAGTCATATTAAACAGTTGCAAATAATACAGAATGTT